CTTGTAAATCTTCATAGATCCACCTTAACTGGAGAATTTGTACCCTTTTGAATTTAGAGTACCTAATGAAATTAGATTTCGGCTCAAATCTGGAACGTGTCTCACATTACCAAGTGTTCGAACAATCCCATTGAACATCTTAATCTTGATTGTGTCAATACTTGCGACTTTACAAGAAACATTATTTCTAAAAAATACATCACCTTTGGATACAATTTTATACGTCGCAAACCAATCACGATTAAGACTCATATAAAAATTGTTACCAAAGTCAAGTATCTACTCATCACTTGTTATAAAGTTATGTCGCAACTAGGAGTTCTTCGTCATCGAGCTCCTCTACCATACAAGCCTCACCAGATTTTTCAGAGTTAACATGACCTTTATTTTTCAAAAGTGACAAGTTTTAACTTGGTTGGAATATTTTTGATCTGCCCCTTCCTTCATTACTAGAAGAACTTTCGCCTTTTTTTCCACAGTTTGATGCACTATGAGTCCCTATTCATGGGGCTCGAAACTAGATACAAGATGCTTCATCTTATCAAATGAATGCAGGCCATTGTACACCTCTTCAAGAGTGAGTGTTTTACAACTGTACAAGATTGTGTCTTTGAAAGATGGGTAAGAATGAGGCAGTGAACACAAGAGGATCGACCCTAAATCTTCTTTATCATACTTCACTTCTAAAATAACTAGATTAGAAACAGTTTCCTCGAATACGATTAAGTGCTCTTTAAGAAACGAATCTTTCGCCAACTTGAGCGAATAAATATGTTGCTTTAAGTGCAACTTGTTGGTTAACGGTTTCAACATGCATAGTTGCTCCAATTTTGTCCGCAAAGAAATATCTATTTTTTCTTTCAACACATCATGCAATATTTGATTTGATAAATGTAAACAAATTTGAGATAGGGCTTTACGATCCTTACATTTTTCATTGTTCGTCCAATCTGACAATATCTTCTTATCAAACTCTTCCAATGCATCATCTAAGTCCAATTGTGCAAGGACATCCTGAATCTTCACTTGCCACAACGAGAACCTAGTGTTTCAATCCAATAACGGAATATCATTTTTTATTGTTGACAAAATCTTGAACTCGAAGCTCTGATACCTATTTTTTATAATATTGAAATGATTATTGACAAACAAATAAACACGATTGAAAAAGAAAAACAAAGAACATCAAGATTTCACGTGGAAAACCCAAAAGGTAAAAACCACGGGCATAGTAGAAAAATTTCACTAATATGAAGGAAAAAATACAAGAGGATTTTGGTGAAAGAAAAGAACTTGATATCTAACCTTTTACCCTTAGTATCTTTTTATAGGGATAAATATTTGATTATAAAGGAAAACTAAATAAAATAAAAAGTTACTTTATAAAAACTACTTTAATAAAATACTATACTTTAATAAAGTTCTCTACTTTTAATCAAACTAGGATTCTTACTTTTCTAATTAAATATTAATTAATTTGTGCCACTTTGAATCGAGTCAAACTATAATAATTATGTTACAAACTCGTCCTTTTTCGTTAAAAAAGTAATGGTATCTGAGTTGAACGTTAACCTGTTAACTGTGATATGATAAAATCTGATCCCGAAATCTCAAACGAATATTATATCTCATTCATTATGCTTGTAACATCCTCAATAACGGGTTAGTGATCAAATTGTAAACCTTTAGAATTTAATGATTAAAGTAGATAAATTGAAAAGTTTAGGACTTATATGAAATTTTTGTGTAGGACTAAACAATAAAGAAGGATAAATGGAAGGGCAAAAGGGTCATTTGATGAACTAATGAATTAAATATGTTATATGGTGGAGATATATACACGTTGAATGAAATGAGTAAGGAAAAAATATAATTTCCAGAGTTATCTTCATCATTCTTCCCTCTTTCAGCCGTGAATCATCTAAAAGCAAGGCGAGTTTCTTTTTAGTTGATTTTGTATAGAATTTAAGATTGGGTTTTGTTCCTTAGATGATACTTAAGTTTAAAGAAAGCTTAAGTCATCTTAAAATCAAAAGATAAATGAGTTAGGAATGATTAAAGATAAGGGGTTTGTAAGTGAAATATTGGATAAGAGTTAGTAAGTTAAGTTTGAAACTAAATTTGACTCATCATCAACTAAATTAAGAAATATGAAGTGTTAGAATTGAAATTAGAACATGTTGGAAAATAGATAGGATTATTTCAAGACATAGGATGAAATATGGAAGATAAATATGTGTTATATGAATAATAATTGATTTTAAGTATGTGTACTGAAGTTTAAGAGCATGATAGGAGCTTAAAATAGAAGGTTTAGATTGGTATTGGTAAATTTTCAAGCTTTAAAAGTGAATTTTGGGCTATGAGTATCGGTCCTGCTTCATCAAATACCAATACGTCTAGGGTAAAAGAAGGCAATTTAGATTAGGGGTATCGATACTAGTTGAACAGTATTGATACCATAAGCCTGAATTTGATAAGTTATTTATGGGGTATCGATACCTAAAGGGTAGTATCGATACCATAAGTCAAGTACCGGTCCCATTCTTGAAACAAGGATTCCAGAATCGAATTTGGGTATCGATGCCTAGGCTTGGTATCGATACCACAGCTAGGGAAGTATCAATACCCTATAGGGGGTACCGATACTACTCCAAGTAGAAAATTAAATTAAGCCTTTCTTTTAGACTAAGAAATTAAGGATTGAATCATAATATTTCGAATGTTGATATGTATACGAAATGTATAATTGTGTAGATATTGAGCTCAAGTAAGTTCTGGAACGATTAAAAGTTAGGAACGATAAAGAAAGAGAAATTAAGTCATTGAAGTGATTGAGATCAAGTGAGACTAAGGTGAATGCATACTCTAGGTGTAACTCAATGGAAATAAGACTTATGATAAATTTATTTCCTATGTCAGTTTTGATAGTCCAATAGTTATGAACATGTATAGATTATGATCATTATAAACACATGCATAAGTTAAATATATGATTATATGATTTAATACATGTTATATGATCTATGTGAACATACTTAAATAACATATGCTATATGATATGAGATTGATGGTTATATGTACAAGTGATATGTGATAGAAGAGAAGACATATGTGATTATAAGAGAAATTACATGAGTATATGAATATATGAATCATAATAAGAATGCCCATGTTATGTGATATGAGAGTTATAGGTATAGTTGGCATGCCAAGAGTCGAGGGTTACATAAGTACTTCGGGACATAGATTTCATATGCCACTCAGTGGATCCTTATACAAGCTGTGGTGGCAGCATTTGTGCACAACCTCAAAGTACTCACATACCTTAAGTTCTCAGTAATGTACATGGGCCTATAAAAGATATAAAAAGTATTTATATGATTATATGCTATCATGTTATTATTGTTTACACTGAATCATATATGACATAATTGAATTATGATATAATAAATATTATTGTATTTGAATAATCAGATTGCATGTTCATATTCATAGGAAAATGCATTGTTATATTTTTATGCCTCACTAAGTCTATGACTTAGTGTGTAAGCACTTTTACACGTAGGTACTGAGAAGCAAGAGGATCAGGCTTAGGATCTGCAGGACAACATACATCCACTCAAAGATCAGATCAGAAGTACTTTTCACAATATGTTTTTTTAATATATATGTTGATACGTAAACAAGTCGTGAAGTACATATGCTCTGATTGATTTTGTAATGTTTTGAAACATACTTATGTAAAATATTAACTTTATGTTAATGAAGTTTAAATTTTCTATAATTTTATAAATGTACATGTTTTGAATAGTCAATGTGACACCTCGGATTCGTATCTGGGTCGGGTACGGTTGAGAGTGTTACAATGCTAACATTCAACTTAGACAACCACGATTTTTTTAAACGAAAATGATGATTTTGGAACATAATAAATAATTGGGTGACCATTTTGTAACTTTTAATAGTCAAGAGACTTAATAAAACAACATTTTATAGATGAATGATTATTTTATAACTTTTAATAGTTGATGGACTTAATAAAGTAGTATCTTATAGTTGGGATCATTTGTGTATGTTATCCTTTTAAAAAATAAATATAAATATATTTTGACTATTTTTATTTTTAAATTCAAATTTTCATTTATATTAATCAAACATATTTTCTAATTTTTAAAATACTAAAAATTTAAACTATTTGTTTTTTTTATTCGGCGACAGACATCAATCTTAATATTAGTTGTCGACTGCCGATGATTATTATTTTTCTTTTCCTTTTTCATATTATGTCTTTGTTTTTTTTATTGAGTTTTTTCATTTTTAAATAAGAATTTATGTCGTTGTGACACGTTTTTTTCTCTACTTTTGTGACACGTTCCTTATGATTTTCGGTAAGTTTTTCGCATAATTATACGGTCGTGTTGGTGCTTCCACAAATATCCTCATGGTATTTGTTTTATGATTGGCTTGTCGGTGATCATGTATTGTCATATCCTCTCTTTTGTAACTGGTTGTTTGTCGATATAATCAGAATTGTGTAGTGAAATAGTCTGTCAAATTGTTTGGTTCGCTCACCACTTCTTTATTACATCGTAAAGTGTCTCGTTCGCCAGAGACACTGAATTTTATGAAGGTTACTGAATTGTTTTGATGTTTCGAATGTTTCAATCTCTTCGTATCTTTTGGTTTAATATTTTTATTTTATGTATGAGATTTTGGTGACTATTGTCTATAATTTTTTGAATGCGCTGTAATTTTGATTCCTCCCTTTTTATTAATGAAATTCAATTGCCATTGTTAAAAAAATTAAAACTATTTTATGAAAACAAAAAAATATTTTCTAATACCAAAGTAACTCTTAAGTTAAAATAAAAATTCATATACTAAACTAAAACATAAAAACTATAAATAATTTAATATTCAAGGTTCAAGCAAGTATTTAAATCTTCATTTTCTATCAAATCCCATATTCAAAACTCAAAAGGATATTTGCACTGAAATAACTATATAAGAGAATACAAGTTCCTTAAAATTTGTCTGAAAATGAACTATGGTGTCCAAATCACAGCATTACAAACCAGGAACATATTCACTTTAATATTAAAATACTACTTTTTTTAGACAACAGTAGGAATTGCTCGCAAAGGTTTAGCCTTTTTAACTGTGATCCCAAACTTCTCCTCCATGTCGAGCTCATTGGACAAGATTCCATCTTCAAGTTCCCACTCAAAGCAGTTTACAAGAGACCCTAACATCAAGTGCAGCATCCGATTCGCCAAAGGTAATCCCGGGCATATCCGTCGTCCAGCACCAAACGGAATGAGCCCAAAATCTGCACCTTTAACATTGATTTCCGATCCCAGGAATCTCTCCGGCGTGAAACTATCCGGGTTTTTCCATGTGCTCGGGTCTCTACCGATGGCCCAAGCGTTAACCAACACTTGTGAACCCTCCGGAACTTTGAAACCACAAAGGCCGGCATCGGAGCCAGCTCTGCGGGGGAGCAAAAGCGGGGCAGTAGGGTGCATCCGAAAGGTTTCTTTGATGATTGCTTGCAGATATGGCAAACGGTTTATGTCAGATTCTTCGATCGGATTTCCTTTGCCGATTACTTGTTCGAGTTCTTTTTTGGCTTTAAGTAAAATCTGAGGGTTTCGAAGCAATTCCGCCATTGCCCATTCTATTGTGTTTGATGTTGTATCAGCTCCGGCAACAAATAGTACCTGTCATCTAGTATGTTAAAATTTGGCAACAGAAATATCCTATAATCCAACTATGTCGAGATATCTATTTCATGTTGTCTACACACCGATGCGATTAGATATGGACATAAAGTTTAAACTTAATAAATTTTGAAGTATAGTACACAAATGGTCTATAATGTTTTATTGAGACTCTTAACTATTAAAAGTTACAAAATGATCTTATGATCTTAGGAAGTTGTTTTGTTCAGTTCATCGACTATTAAAAGTTACAAAATGATCACCTTACTATTCACTATATTATAAACTCGTCATTTTTCGTTAAAATCTTGACAACAGTTTAAGCTATACATTAATCTACCGACTAAAATATGATAAAATCTGATCTCATAATCTCCTTAATAGAAAAAAATGAGTTTGGAACACAACGAATAGTCGAGTGCCCATTTTATAACTTTTAATAATCGAGTGATTAAACAAAGAAACTTCCTATAATTAAGAGGTTATTTTGTAACTTTTAATAGTCAAAGAATCACGAACCAAGTGAACTTTGTGGTAAATGAATTGTTGATATTCCTTGAGAGGTTAGAGCACTAGGAATGTTAGGCAGGAATATAAGTACAAATATTATTTTGTACTTACCTCATATTAATCAAAAAAATAATAGTAAATAGTTCAATAAAATAATATTTTATAGTCAGAGAATCATTTATGTACTTTATCTAAATTTTAATTTGATTTAATATAATAAAATTCGAGATATATTGAACGTCTTTTAAAAATTAAATGAAATTAAGTGAAAGTATAGAATTTTCAAGTAGGTATCAATAGACCAAAATCTATTTTACCTAACCCACATGCATCCCTAAATATTACGTGTTAACTCCTAAACAATACCCAAAATTATAAACATAAAAGAAATTAGAGGAAGATAATGAAATATTACCAAAAGCAAATGTAGGACGTGAGTTCTGTCAAGCTCCTCGACATCGTCTTCTACAATATCAATAAGAGTGTCCAAAACATCATTCGACGCATTAAAACACTTGGATTTTCTTGATTGAGATCTTTCATCGAACATATTGCCGAAAAGAGTAAGCACCTTTTCAAAATGAACCGTCATCCGGCGCCGTATGCGTTGCGGATCGATCTTTCTAAGCAAAGGGAAATAATCAGCCAAGTTAGGCTTCCCGGCGTCTTCAAAGATATCCCAAACTGTTTGCCGGAATCCTCGAGCCTGAGATGAATTCGGGTCGACCAAATCCACTGAAAAAATGGTGTTGGACAGCAAATTAATCGTGGCATCAAAAGCAGCTTGGCCGATGTTAATGGCATCACCTTTAAGGCAACTTTTGCGAACATTTTCGATCAGTTCTTCGGTCTTCACCCGACGCGAGTATTGGTTGGCATCGAGTTTTAGAGTAGAGAAAAGATGGATAGCACAGATTTTGCGAAGAGTTCTCCAAAGTGGCGAAACGGGTAAAAACGAGAGCCCGAATTCATCGAATCGGCAGGCTCGGACGGCATCGATGACGGGTCGGTTACAGAAGACGAGGTCCTGTTCTTTCAAGACTTCTTTCGCTGTTGTTTCCGATGAAACGACGACGGTGAATAAGCTGCCGAGTTGGAGACCCATAACGGGGCCGTGAACCTGAGCGAGCTTAGCCAATGACCTGTGGGGTTTATCGCCAAGATCGAAGAGGTTGCCGAAGATAGGCAGCCGCCGTGGACCGGGTGGGAGCTTGGTTTCACTTTGTTTACTTCCGTTTCTAAACGTGCTTAAAGCTTGAAAGACAAACATGGTGACTAACAACAAGCATAGCAATGAACTTGTTAAGAAATCCATCTCTCTCACTCTGTACGTACAACAATGGTGGAACTGAAATCAAAGTTTTATAGCCATGTGGGGTGAGAAAACAAGCAGCAGCAAATCACGTAATCATCAATGCACGACACCCTGCTACTTATAGGAAAAGAAACAAGACCAACCTTCTATTTTTTTTTAGAAAACCACGTCCATTTCTGAATAGATTGATCGAAATTATTTTTTAAATATCTCAATGGGTTCAAAGAATTAATTTTCGAGTTTGAGTTTTTATTATATATTGATTCCAGTAATTAATATTTTAATATTATTTAAAAAAAATTGACCTCAAATTTATTTTTATATATATTTAAAATCTACGCTTAAAATCTCACTCAACAAAAATAAAAATATAAACAAAAACAAAATCAAATGTGTAACGGGATCCTGATCTTTATTTCTTTGCTAAAGAAATTAAGCCAATGCACTCGATAATGGCCGAAGGTGAAGACTTTCCTATGCGATAGTTAACATAAGGATAGACACGAATTCGATCGATTTTTATTTGATTTGATTTGATTGAGCTATTTTTTTAAAAAAATTAAATTTAGGTCGAATCTAATTTAGGATAAAAAAATATTCAATTTGACTCAATCAGAAAAATAATATAAATTTATTTTATATATTTATGAATAATTATTATAATAACCTTATATATATATTGTTATTCAATAAGTCCCTATTTTTATGAATAAAAGTATTATTTTTAATAAATATATTTATTTCAAATCAAATCAAATTAAATTCGAATTTTATTTTAAAATATTGAGTCAAATTCGAATCAAATAAAATATCTCTATATTTGAATCAAATCAAATTTTAAGTTAAATATATATTATTGAATCGGATCAGATTAATAAAAAATCTGACTCGATCTTACCCATATACATCCATAGTTAAAAATCTCAGGTTGTAGCCTCCTGTCAAGAGTATCTTGCTACTATACACCTAAATATCTCCAATGCATTATTGTAGGGTCACTTCATGTCTAATCAATTTTTTTTATTTTTAGTGTTTAAATTTATTTTCACCTATAATTTGAATTAAAATATTTGAATATGTTTGATTTTACATTTTTTTTACATATTCCACTGATGATAATGTGATTTTGACAAACTTAACCACAAATATTTTTATTAAAAAATAAATTTAAATTATTTTTTATAATAGAAACTGCTAAGAGAAATCGAAGAAAACGGGATCGGAGGAAAGTCGAAGAAATCGAAATCGGTACATATAATCATAGATTATCTCCATGATCCACACATCTTTTTTTGCAGAGGACTAGCTCAACATCAAGCAGGGCTAAGAGAAGTGGAACAGGAAAGAAGAATCCATGGCACTGAGGAACAGAAACATTTTATAACAATGGTGAAGTATCTGTAACCCTATATAGAATTGTATGCGGGATGGGGGCTGGCTTTTAGAGAGAATGATTTGATTATTATTGAGGCAACGGACATGCTTGAACAAGCTTGGATTTCAAGCATGATGATTAGTAACCCTAGAAATGGAGCTTGGTTTCACTTTGTTTACTTCCGTTTCTAAACGAGCTTAAAGCTTGAAAGACGAACATGGTGACTAAAGTAACAACAAACATAGCAATGAACTTGTTAAGAAATCCGTCTCTCACTCTGTACGTACAACAATGGTGGAACTGAAGTCAAAGTTTTATAGCCATGTGATGTGAGAAAACAAGAAGCGGCAAATATCAAATGCAGCACGTAATCATCAATGCATGTGGCCCTACGACTTCTAGGAAAAGAAACAATACCTTCTGTTTGTAAGAAAACTGAAAACCACATCCATTTCTGATAGATGGATCGAAATTATTTTTTTAAATATCTAAATGGGTTAGTTGAATTAGTTTTCGAGTTTAAGTTTGTCTTATATATTAATCAAGCAATTAATAATTTAATATTATTTAAATAAATTTTAAGCTCAAATTTATTTTTATATATATTTAAAATCCATGCTGTCACTCAACAAAAACAATTTCAAATGTGTAACGAGATCCTCATCTTTATTTCTTTGCTAAAGAAATTAAGCCAATGCACTTGATAATGGCGGAAAGTGGGCACTCTCCTCGACAATAATTAACACTAGGAATAGTAAAGAAATTAAGACTGTCGTGGAATTCGGTTAATTTCTACTAATAATAATAAATTCATCTTGAAAATTATTATCTAGGTGACTAGTGTTAAAACGATTATACTAAAACTCACATCAAGGTAGATTTCCAGGAAAGATGAGTGTTCACAATGGTCCCTCTTAAAACCCATTTTCCTTAGACATAACTACCAAGACAAGTAATTTTAATAGGACAATAATGAACAATAATTATACCCGACAATAGTTATTAAATAGACATAAAGAGAACACCAAAATTTAACGAGGTTAGGTCAAAATTATACCTACCTCCTCAAACACTACTAAAATAATATTTCACTAATAGAGAAAATATTACAAAGAGAAAGAAAGAATACAAATAGCCTTTAATATAGAAGAAGGCTTATATTTGTGGGATGCTTAACTAAGGAGGATGATGACTCTATTTATAATAAAAGAATTTCCCCTCCTCCTTATACACAACCAATGTGGAACTTTGCCAAAAAACCAACAAATCTCCACCTTGGCAAATTCCACACACATCTCTCAAAAATCCAATCTTCAGTAGTGTCTGCAAATTCATCTTTCAATTTGTAATATTAACCAAGTCTAAACAATGTTTAAACTTGACCGCAGTTACCACTTTTGTCAACATATCAGCAGGATTCTCAGTGGTCCGAATCTTCTGGATTATGACTCTACCTTCTTCTAGAATCTCTCGTACAAAGTGATATTGAACATCGATGTGCTTCGTCCTTGCATGGTAAACCTGGTTCTTTGCTAAATGAATAGCACTCTGACTGTCACAATGCACTTTGATGTGCTTCTGTTCCATTCCCAATTCACCAAGCAACCCTTGAAGCCAAATTGCCTCATTCACAGCCTCTGTAACTGTCATATACTCTACCTCTATAGTAGACAAAGCCACTGTTGACTGTAAGGTGGACTTTCAACTGACTGGTGCCTTTGCAAATGTAAACACATAACCAGTAGTTGATCGACGCTTGTCTAAATCACCTGCATAGTTTGAATCACAATACCCAACTACACACTGACCATCTTGTTTGTCCTGCTGAAAGACCAAACCAACATCTACGGTATTTAGAATGTACCGCAGAAACCATTTCACAGCTTGCCAATGCTCATTTCCATGATCATGCATATATCTGCTCACAACCCCAACTGCCTATGAAATATCGGGTCTCTTACACACCATTGCATACATCAAGCTACCAAAAACACTTGCATACGGAACCATTGACATGTATTCCTATTCTGCATCATCCTTAGGTGACATGGATGCACCGAGCTTGAAATGAGGAGAAAGAGGTGTACTAACTGGTTTTGACTTCTCATTCATGCCAAAACGTTTTAGTACCTTCTTTAAATATTCTTTCTGAGACAAAAAAAGCCTCCACAATTCCTTATACATTGATATCTCCATGCCTAGAATCTTCTTCGCTTCACCAAGATCCTTCATTTCAAACTCTCTGTTCAATTGAGTCTTTAGTTTCGCAATTTCTGTCTGACTCTTGGAAGCTATCAACATATCATCAACATAAAAAATATATATATATATGATCCATCTTGTAGCTTGCGTAAATACACACAATGATCATATTTGCTTCTTGTGTACTTCTGCCCTATCATAAACTTGTTAAATCGCTTGTACCACTGCCTTGGAGATTGCTTCAATCCGTATAGTGATTTTTCTAATTTGCACACCATCTCTTCTTTTTCAGAAACTTTGAATCCATCTGGCTGAGTCATGTAGATTTCCTCATCCAAGTCTCCATGTAAAAATGCAGTTTTTACATCCATCTGAACTAGTTCCAAATCCAACTGTGCTACCAAAGCCAACAAAATTCTTATGGATGAATATTTTACAACTGGAGAAAATACTTCATTATAATCAACTCCCTCCGTTTGAGCGTAACCTTTAGCCACCAATCTTGCTTTATAGCGGATGTTATTCTTGTCAAGAAATCCATCTTTCTTTGCAAATACCCACTTGCACCCAATTGTCTTCTTTCCCTTCGGAAGACTAGCTAGTTTCCACGTCTGATTCTTTTGAAGGGATTGCATTTCTTCATTCATGGAGATCCTCCACTTTTTATGTTATGAACTTTGGGCTGCTTCATTAAAAGTGGCATGAACGTCATCAATTGTAATTGGTGATGCAAAAGAGACTATATCAGTATAACGAGCAGGTTGTCTAATGGTTCTCTTTCCCTTTCTGAGTGCAATTGATTCATGTTATTGTGGAGGTTCTTGGGTCTGAACCTCTTCTTCATCTGACTCTTCTTCTACTATAGGAGAGTCATCATCAGTTTCTTTACTGGCTGGGTCAATTCCAATTCCTTCAAACTCCACATGTTTGGGAGTTCCATCTGTCTGCTCTAATTTTTCTGAAGTCACCTTTCTCAACATAGTAGATTCATCAAAGGTAACATCCCTGCTGAAGATTATTTTCTTTGTTTTTGGACACCAAAGACGATAGCCTTTCATACCAGAGGTGATCCCCATAAAGATCGCCTTCTTTGCTCTTGGGTCCAGCTTTGACTCCTTAACATGGTAGTATGCAGTAGAACCAAACACATGTAAGGACTCATAATCTGTAGCAGGTACTCCAAACCATTTCTCTAATAGTGTTTTACCACCAATAACAGTCGATGGTAAGCGGTTGACAAGGTGACAATCATAGACCAAAGCCTCAACCCAAAATTCTTTGCCTAACCCAATATTAGACAACATACACCGAACCTTCTTCACTAATATCCGGTTCATTCGCTCTTCCACCTCATTTTGTTGTGGTATAGATCTGACAGTGAAGTGTCTGACAATATCTTCTTCTTCACAGACTTTTAGAAATTGATCATTTTTGTACTCTCCACCATTATCTGTATGGAGACGTTTGATTTTTCTACATGTTTGAGTCTCCACCATCTTTTTCCATTTAAGGAAAAATCCTAGCACCTCATCCTTTGTCTTCATTGTATACACCCAAACTCTCCGGGGAAAATCATCAACAAAGGTGACATAATTGT